AAGAGGAGTTCGAAATTGATGACGAAATCGTCGGCTCAGATGACGGAGATTATCTTGACGAAGATGACATTCAGCGCAGTCAGGTTAGACATTCAAAATCACATCTTCTAAAGCGTTGGAAAAAATAATGTATTTATCAATAGTTTTTATGCCTACCCAGCTTACAAACGTTATAATAACTTTGCGTTAAGGAAAACTCAGACAGCAAAGTTGAACGGAGTTCAACCGTCCAGACCACTGTCGGGATAGGGCGAGCAATTCTATGGAAACCAAGCTTCAGACTGTTCGCGACGATGAATTGCATCGGACTGCGTCGTACGACGGTGTCTGAGTTGGGCTTTATCGTTTTCAAAATGTTTTAAGGACTTCAAATGGTGGTCCACTAACACTTTAAAGAACCCATTGCGGCTTTCGGAAGAGTAGGTTACCCAATGATATGGTTAATTTCAGCCACTGACGTTGTGGAATTATGTGAAAATAAACTAGATAGTCACCCACCCGGTACATACGCAATTTAGCGAAATGATGCTGTGAACTATGGATTACTCCCCTGCCTTTAGCTATGTATTTTTTGGTCTTCCAGTTAGTTCCTTTACCTTTTGACTTCTTTCAATGCTTGTTTGCTGGTGTATCTTCGAAAAGCATGATTAGATGGCCAATACCAGTTTAGCCTAGCTAGTTCCAGAACCACTGCATGTAGGGGCATGGGAACACAATCTGCTGAACAGTCTTCTAGCACCACCTCTGATTAGAGGGAGAAGCGGGGTTCATTGTTCCTTGCCAAAACGATTGGCTTATTCGACGACGTGGCCCGGGTTCTTCTTGGATCCCCGCTGGCATCGCCACTACTTTGAATATCTGCACATTCACCTCCTCACCTATTCATACTTAGTGGGTTCTCTAGGACATACTGTACATTCTGTGGGAGGGGCGTTTTTCATAACTGCCTGACAGTGCAGTGTCGGATCCAGGGGGTTCAATGGGTTCGGACGAACCCCCCTCTGTGAAGAAACGTAACAAAATACTAATAGGCCCTGGCTTACAAAAGGCATGTTAACCTACCTGCCATAGGTTGGCAGATCAGACAAACTAGGCGCCGGCTTAGCTCAACTAGCCTTCAATTAAATACATTTAACAAACACTGTTTTGGTTCAATTTCGTAATACTTTTTGTACGAAAGTGCGTTCTTCAGGCCTATCGATCTATGGAGAAAGACTACGTATCCAACTACTCAATATTGTTGAAATGTAATAATATATTGCCATACTTGTCAACCTTGAGAAATTAGAAAAGAGTGATACCGGGTGACAGATAATGAGTGCCGAAGGCACGAACAGTAGCTGGGGGCCAGGGGGTCGCCAAGGGCTCCCGGTCGGGGTCGCTTTGGCAATAAATTTCATAAATAATCGATATTAGTAAGTTTATAATGATCTCAGATACAATAGTTATTGAAACATGGAGGTAGAATGTCATGATTATGGATGTTAGTTATAGTAAAATTCATTACAAATTAAAAAAGAAACAAGATTTACTTAATTTTTAGCATAAGCGTAAGTTTTGTCGGTGTTAGCGTAAGACCGTAAGATTTTATTCGAATATGCGTATACGGCGAATACGTATACGGGTTGACAGGGCTGTATTGCATGTGTCTTCTTTTTTTCTCTCTCTATGTATAGGCCTAAGAATGAGATAAAATTACCTGACCCTTTTCAAGAGAGGGAAAACCTTGAATTTTGAAGAACTTAAAAAGTCATTAAAAGACAATTATGCCAATAAGTGAACTTAATCACTGTCCACGTGGCATATCCCTTTAACAACAGGGGACTTAATGGACCAGTTCTAACAGGGGACTTAATGGACCAGTAGAACGGGGTAACCCCCCACTCATCTCGAATGATGTACTGGGTTCTTTAAAGTGCACACGAGCCAAATGCGTACACTGGGCCTACGGTTTAAAGTCCTTATCCGAGAAGACTTGTTCCACCACCGGAACCATTGGCGAGTGAGCCGTTCGAACAAGCGCCGGTATTAGAGCTGAAGGTTACGGTGCCCCTGATTTAACCGCTCTTTTTTGGGTTTTTGGGAACTTTCTGAACCCCCTCTTTGAAATCCTGGATCCGCCCCTGCAGTGACAGGGGATCTTACAACATGCCGTCTAAAGAAATTGTGCAATTTTGGCCCATTTAAGTTGTTCTATACATAATTTGGAATGTCTTACTTGCGTTATGTAGTTTTCAAAGTGTGTGTTTTTTTTTAAGGAAAAAGGGGGTCGAGTGCACACAATCTTTAAAGAACACATTGCATCTTTCAGAAGTACGCCGCCTAAAGAAATATCGTTGTATATATTATTTTTTAACGTCTTATGGGGCAAAGAATTAAAACAGATTTATGTTATTTTTATGGTTCAACGATTGGCGGCCGGCCGACGGTTGAGATTTGTCTCTTATACACATCTAGGTGTGTATAAGAGACAGACTCAGTGTACTTTTTAAAATTGTTAATGACTAGCAACTATGCTAAATGCAGACTACAAACTGGCCCCCAGCCAAGTGAGACTCGATTCGCTCCACTAGCCCCCCCCCCCCGTCGGGGCCATTAGCCCCTCCGTCGGGCAGGTCCTGGCGCCACCACTGCTAGCGCTCACAGAGAGCGGGGTTGATTTGCCGTACGACTGTCGATCGTCGTACGACACAGTGATGAGTGCCCGGCTTAACGTTTATGATCTAAGGGGGCGGAACATACCGAAAAAGTCAACAGTAATTCTTTCGGATAACATAAACTGCAGTTATTTAATTATAAGCCAAAGTTAGCTCATAGAGATCTACGTGAAAGCGGTTTCTTTACGACCGAATAAAAATAGATTGTTGAATGTGTAAAATTTTAAAAATCAACTAATCCCTGAGGATGGAAAATGGTTAGATGAGCAGGTCCTGGATACAAAAAAATAGGTGATAGACTATTTTTGGATCATTTGGATCATAAAGTTATGCTCCCACTACTTTACAACCGAATAAAAATAAATTGTTGAATGTGTGAAATGTAAAAATCAACCAATCCATGAGGATGGGAAATGGTTAGATGAGCAGGTCCTGGTTACAAAATTAGGTGGTAGACTATTTTTGGATCATTTGGATCATAAAGTTACGCTCCCACTAATAGTGAATATATTTTATTTCTAGTTGCGAGTCTATAGGGGCTAACTACAAGTTAAATGAATGTTTGGGGAGTATTACTAAAGGGTATAATATTTGGTGTTAGTAGTTTGTGTTGTTCGAGTTTTTAGTTTTGTTCTCGAATCTCGAAGATCTCGAATAGGCATGTCATTCTTCATGAAATTATATTTCCAATAATTACATTACGTTTCTGGACAGTGTTCTCTTATAGGTTAGAAGAGATAGTTGATTAAGTTTGGTAATGTGCTGATCAGTTAAAGATATTCGTGATATGCTCCCCCTTGCGTTGGTGTACTTGATGCTCCGTCAGGACTAAAGCTTGGAATACATAAAATCACTACTAGTACACGCTATCGCCGACTGCTTTCTTCGGTGATGCTGATTGGTCGGTCGAATAAATCGGGAAGCATTTTAAGGAAACCCATGAGGAAACCAGACTTTGGCTATGTTCAGACCATAGTCGACTATATGGTTCAGACACAATGACGCTGCGTATCGTTAATCGAGTGGTACGGTGTGAACTTGGGCGCGGCGTAGCGAACGCCAGTCAATATCGCGCAATCACTAAAATATACTAGACGCCCTTGTTCAAAACATTAGGCATCTCCGTGCAGTATAATGTTTGCATTTTGATCTGGTGACGTAATTTTATCCATTGGCAGTAAAAAAAAACGTTCTTTATGAACTTTTCCTCACGTACTAATGATGATGAAGATACATATTTTAAGCAAGGAGGTATTATTGAGAATACCTCCATGTTTTAAGTACAGTTTATAACAATTGCCCAATGAAAACTCTTACATTTGATGCAGAAAACCGTCCGCACACTTTTTATATTTTTATGTGGTATCAAGTAGAAAGTAGTATCAAAGATAATTAATAATATAAAATTTCTTTGGTAGTATCTTTGGTAGTATTCAAAGTTCAATGTTATTAAAGCATTATAGCTTATAGTTGCTTAGTTATTGTTCTTAGAACACAACATAAGCCTAACGCACAAAACCTTCCAAAGCGCTACGCTACTAAATTCCTTTCGAATACGCTGAAAACTAAACGGTTGCCAAAATAAGAAACTTGGAATACGTGGTAGGTAGTGATGGTATATAAAAAACAAAAGGAAAAGAATTTGATGAATAGGCCTCTTCCAAAGGCTAAACTTATATGCCTTTGTTTTTGACTTAAACTAATTTTAGTAGTGACGAATTAAAAAAAAAATGAGATTTGGATCCGCTTATTTACTGTGCTTTTTTGTATTTTACATAAAAACACATGTAATAAGGACAAGAGGTTGGTTAAAGTTTATTCATTTTGATTTCAACGAAGAGCAATCTACTCGCTGCATAGCTGCATAGGCCTAGCCTAGGCTGTAGGCTCAATACTATATAAATGCATTTGGTATTAGTTTTAGGCATAGGCCTACGCTTACGCCCTAGACCTAGGCTAATCCTATTCCTAGGCATCTCTAAATGTTACACAAAAAATAGCTAGGCCTAGACCCAGAGCCTATGCATACCATAAGCATACCACTAATACTGCTACAATAAAAAAAAAAATTAAAATTATGATGTTTAGATTTTTCATGATCAAAGAAGTATGTATAGTATGAGTATGTTTCAAACATTTTTACTGTCCTCGAAGTTACCGTACAGGAAATACACAGGCAAGTTTCACCCAATAATATACTCCTACTTTAATTAGTATAGTTTAGTTAAAAGTATCATTATCATTTCAGAAGTCAATTATATATCGAAGCAGAACATAGGCCTATATGTTGATGATGTCACTTCGCCAACAGACGGCATCGCTGGTAAGTCATTCATCACACGAATGAAACACTATGTGGATGGGCATCAACGCTCAAGGGGCACGCGTGCTGCCGATAGAAATCGAGATCCATCGACTAGGCGAACAAACTGGAAAACAATTGAGAAACCACTGTTTGAAAAACGGCAAATGCAAGAATTACTTACTTTGCAAAATAATGAAGAGAAACGATTGAGATTATCAGAGGACAATAACAAATGCAACAGTAAGTTGTCAATAGCAACGAATTGATCAGTACGTTGCAAGGTCATATCTTAAAATACATTGTTTGATATAAAACGTTAAAAGGATATGGGCACACATACCCAAACTAAAATTCACGATTGAAAAGGCCTCTGATCTCCCGCACACTTACATGTATTGATGATCAAACAATCGATCGATCGATCAGTCACTCAGTCAGTCACTCAGTCAATCAATCTATCTATCGTTTAATCAATCGAACAAAATATCAATCAATTGATCAATCTGTCAATTAATCAGTAATCAATCAATCAACCAACCAATTAATCAATAAACCAACCAGAAAGCCATCAATTCTTACTTTGATTAATATGAAATAGTTTTACTTTCTTGAACAGAAATGCGGTTGGTGGTCGGGATTGTTTTAGGCGCTGTGGTTACGATGATAGTTTTGGGTCTTGTTGCGCTCTTCTATTTCCTTAAGAGGTAACGTTTAAAGTCTGTGTGGATTAGGCTTGTCTAAATTTGGATTCACAATGTGTACATTAAATGCGAATGTGATAAAATATTATTAAGTAAAAGTCAAACAAAGATAAACTCTTTGATCGCAAGTTGGAAATCAATGGTTGTATATGACACTCATATGACGGTGGTACGATCGTCGGCTGACCAAATCCAATCCCGCTCCCTGTGAGCGTTGATCCGGCACTCACTGCCGTAGGCTGAACGGATCGTCATTGAAAACGATTCGTTTGCACGTGTCGTGGCGTTCCGTTCTCTCCAGAGAGTGAGTGCTCGGCTTTAGACAAGGGCAGAGCCCACTCTTAACTGTCAATATTGATAACATTTACGGTACAGTGTATGAAAATGTTTTTGTTGTTTTTTGAAATCAATGTTATGACGTTTGTAATTCCATAAGAATCAGGATGTGCTCCAATCAGGATTATTTACCATCCATTAACCATTCTAATTTCATCTACATCATTTAGAAACGATCAAGATAGTAAGTCACGGACATCAATGGAGAAACCCAAGACATCAATCAGAAAACCGTCATTGCCGAAGTTTGTTTTTTGTTTTTTTTTAACTTTCGCACCCTTTTTACAGACACAATATGCTATTTAATATTGTAAACAAAGTTAAATGAATATGGAAGATGGTAAAGGGATGTTTGATGCATTGATTTCCATTCAGGTAATGTAGGCCTATGTATTATGTAGGCAAATCCTGGCGTCTAAGTTTTTTCCCCTCCCGACAAGTTGTTGTTTTTCTGTTGGCAGCTCTTCCCTAGGGTGACAGTTTCCTCCTGCTCTTTGTTTAGGCCTTCTGCCTTCCCTCCCTACTTGCACTGGGGCCGATTATGTCTTTTAAGTTTTTTTATAGAGTTGTAAGATTGATTATTGGTTATCATAATCATTACAATTTTTTGAATAAATGTTTACAGCGAGTTCAATCTGATTTACATACAATTTGTTTTTGTAACAGACGTTTTGTAGAAGAGTCTGACCCTTATGACGAAATCGACGATTCAGAGGAAGGAATTTATATTGACGATGATGAAATTCAACCAATAAGGTATGATATTCACAACCAAGTGTTCATCAGATATTCATTTGTAAGGATGCGTTTTTCAACTGTTTTTATAGTTCCAGTTTTAATTAATCTCTATTCAATTCAATTTTAATTAATGTCCCAGGCACATAACGAACCAGGATCTCTGCACAATTCACAGCTTAGTGAGAAACTAGATCTTCAAGATTTTGCTTGTGGCTAGAATTGCATTTAATCTCCAATATTTACAATTGTAATTTTCGTCAAGAATGTTGTTCAGGCACGTAAGGGGGCTGGGGTGGTGTGATGGATGTGTATGCACGGCCATATGTTCGACGTTCGACTCCCACCTAAGCTGACAGCAGCTTAGCTCATCTGGTGGTAGCCACTGTGTGTGCGCTGAACCGTGGAGATCTCTAGGTCCCCGGTTCAATTCCTATCGCTGCCTCTCCTTGTGTTTCAGCTAGAGGGCTGAAATACAAGTTACAATAGCGCACTGTCTTTCGGATGAGACGTTTAAGCCGTTGGTCCCGTGTGAATTATGGCCCATGTGCACGTTAAAGAACGCAGTACACTCTTCGGAAAAGAGTATGGGATTGTCTCCCGGTGTACTTCCCAATCACCACCAGAAGGACCCCACTGGAAATAAGTCTTCTTCTAGACTTTCGTGGGCTATACTTGGTGTTTACGTCGAATAAATTCAATCAATCACCTGCATTTTTTCCCACCTATTAAAAGAAGTATTGAGTGAGTGTCCAGTAAAATATAAAACGTCAAGTTGATAATAAACGAAGATCCTATTTATTTTTGGTACAACTAATGTTCTAATAATATCAATAATAATGATAATATAGTATAGCATAGGCCTAATACTTACAGTATATAGTAAAAATTAAGGCAAACTGTAAAAAAAAATCATTACTTGCGTGATAGATGAAATTACAATTAATTGAAGACAAAAACAATAACAAAAACGAATCTAGGCCTTCCTAAATCTATGGGCAGTGAAGAATAATTCGGTTCGCGCTCAGTGTGCAGCGACACCTGTCCACTATGAAAGTATAGTGGATGTGGTATTTATGTGATGGGTCCATGCGTATAGATGGTGTTTGCCTGCAATTTTTTGTGTCACAATGTAAATGATGACTCATTTTGTATTTTTCTTCACAATGTAGTAATGAATTCCCCCAAAGGGCCAATATACACATTATGAAAAAAACATTTACCCCAACAGGTGCACATTCATAACCCATTAACACCCACATCTCCTAACCACACCCCTTACATACTGGTACGTCTAAGACATAATTGCATTGATTTTAAAGACCGGTTCATCTGATCGTGTTCAGTACATTAACTTTCGTTACTGATTGATGTAGAATGTAATAAAATTCGTCTTAGGTTGTGATCCCTCCCCCTCACCTTATATAAAAATGAACAGGTTAATTTCACCTTATGTCTGTTATTTTTTATTCTCAGAGAGGAGCACGAGATAAATAATCTTCGACCGCCCCCACCGATACCTAAGGGCATCCAACCGTGAGTATAGTCATTTAGATCCTTGTGAACTCGTTTAAACCTATTAAAGATAAACCAAAAGCTCACACTGTCTGTACTTTTTAGGATTTATGAGAGGTAAAACAAAACAGGCCTATCATTGTTTTAATTTTCTTCTACATAGCAAACGATTGGTCCATCACCAAGGACTTAAATCATATATATTTATTTTCTGTGTAATTTGAGTTACATCATAATTTACACAGTACATGATTATATACTAATATACCAACAAGCATGAAAGTAAGACATCGTGTAATTCGGTGCAGGGCCGTAGCCAGGATTTTCAAGTCGGTGGGGGCCGTCTTGGCAAGGTACGTAGTACCTAGCAGGAGTGAGTTCGGGCAGGATTGTTCCCCCCCCCCCACCTCCCTACGCCGATGACCGCCGGTCGGGGTTTGTAGAGCCAACAAATGTAAAAATCTAGCACTAATGTAAAAATAATTAACAAATGTCAAAACATTGTACGCGCAAATATCAAAATAACCACAAATGCCATAGCATGTTCACCGCAAATGTAAACATTTATTCTAAGATAATTTATTTTCAGATGGGTACGGTATGTGTGTGCGTGGGTCTTTCCTCCTAAGCATTAAAATCTTATACTGAAAGACCCTAATTAACTGGTTATAGTAGAGCAGCTAAGAGCCCAGTTCAGCATTTTATTGCCAAAGCATGAAACTATGAAAAACATAATATTGATATGTGTAGATTTTTAAGAAAAATGTGTGGCATGGTTGGGGCTGAGGCGCAAAAAATTGAGGAAATATTATCTAGATGGCCGGAAATGACACCTTTATATAGTAAAATTTATCATCATCACATTACCATTTCAAATATAATCAATTAAACGTCAACAAATTTCTTACGATTATTTATCAAGGGATTTTCAGCAGCCATTGGGATCTAATTAATATGTGTGATGTATCATAGAAAATAAAACATAAAGCATTGTCTTTGATATATTTACTTTTCAAATTTCAAAGCTGTGAGTTTACAACCTTTAATACTACCTCTAGATGACCGGAAATGACACTTATAATAGTAAAATTCGTCATCATCACATCACCATTCTATAGTCAAAATGAAGTGCCAACAAATTTCTCATGACTTTTTATCAGGGAATTTCGGCAAACATAGAGATCTAGGTAACCCAGGACAACTTAGGCCTAACTATATCTTTTTGTTTATTTGTTTGTTTGTTTTTTGGTTTGGTTTGTTTTGTTTTTTTGTTTTTGTTTTTGTTTTTTTGTAATCGCATAAAAGGAACACGTCGTCCTCGGAGTTGCATCACTATCACATAGCGTAGTTCAGCAAAATGAGTTATAACAAACCATGCCATTTGTATTTGTAATTTGAGTAAACAATTCACGCTTGGCCTATGTGTTATAATTATAGTATTATATGTATAACGTGTGCTGATGGATATTTACATCGAGGCCTGTTTTAGAAGTAATTCATTTTAAGTGATCCCAGGAAAGAATTTGTTTTGGATAGCAAGAACAAGCTATAACATACTAACACTGTGTACAAAATGGGGAGCTGCGGCTCCCACGGCTCCCCCTGGATACGTCCCTGATTCGGTGTCAGCATAGTTTGATTGAAAATCAATGTTAAAACTAAAAGTAAGAGTAAACTCAATTACTAATCCGCTATCATAATTTTCATCACTCACTATCTTCATCATCGTCATAATAATAATAATAATAATAATAATAATAATAATAATAATAATTATAATTATAATAATATAATAATAGTAATAATAATAATAGTAATAATAATAATAATAATAATAGTAATAATAATAAAAACAACATAATAAAACATTATCATAATTTAACAAACGATTATTTGTCACATCTATTTTGTATTTTATTGTAGTATTTCTAGGGACTAACTTAAAATTCTGTGTGATTATACAAGAACTTATTTTGCCACCGCCACTTAAATGTATTGCTATGTTATTTGGAATGTAAAATTTATAAACAAATGAAACTTAACTCAATTGAAGTAATTTGGCTTATGAATTTAAAATTGACTATTATGTATTCAAATTATAGCAAATATTTGTCATTGAATGTATATAAAAATAAAGTGGCAGTATTTTACATTGTCAAATTTCTGGCATGTTTTTTCCAGTGCTGTCTTTTTTATAATGGCTGTGTGCATCTTATAAGTTTCTTCATTCTCCAGGCAAAGTATGTGATGACTGTCTCTTATACACATCTAGATGTGTATAAGAGACAGATTTACTTGTTAATTCCAACAAATGTAAAAATCTAGCACTAATGTAAAAATAATTAACAAATGTCAAAACATTGTACGCGCAAATATCAAAATAACCACAGATGCCATAGCATGTTCACCGCAAATGTAAACATTCATTCTAAGATAATTTATTTTCAGATGGGTACGGTATGTGTGTGCGTGGGTCTTTCCTCCTAAGCATTAAAATCTTATACTGAAAGACCCTAATTAACTGGTTATAGTAGAGCAGCTAAGGGCCTAGTTCAGCATTTTATTGCCAAAGAATGAAATTATGAAAAACATAATATTGATATGTGTAGATTTTTAAGAAAAATGTGTGGCATGGTTGGGACTGAGGCGCAAAAAAATTGAGGAAATATTATCTAGATGGCCGGAAATGACACCTTTATATAGTAAAATTTATCATCATCACATCACCATTTCAAATATAATCAATTAAACGTCAACAAATTTCTTACGATTATTTATCAAGGGATTTTCAGCAACCATTGGGATCTAATTAATATGTGTGATGTATCATAGAAAATAAAACATAAAGCATTGTCTTTGATATATTTACTTTTCATATTTCAAAGCTGTGAGTTTACAACCTTTAATACTACCTCTAGATGACCGGAAATGACACTTATAATAGTAAAATTCGTCATCATCACATCACCATTCTATAGTCAAAATGAAGTGTCAACAAATTTCTCATGACTTTTTATCAGAGAATTTCGGCAAACATAGAGATCTAGGTAACCCAGGACAACTTAGGCCTAACTATATCTTTTTGTTTGTTTGTTGGTTGGTTTGTTTTGTTTTGTTGTTGTTTTTTTTTTTTTTTTTTTTTTTTTTTTTTTTATTGCATATTTTTTTTTTTTTGTAATCGCATAAATGTGACACGCCGTCCTCGGAGTTGCATCACTATCACATAGCGTAGGTCAGCAAAATGAGTTATAACAAACCATTCCATTTGTATTTGTAATTTGAGTAAACAATTCACGTTTGGCCTATATGTTATAATTATAATATTATATGTATAACGTGTGCTGATGCATATTTACATAGGCCTGTTTTAGAAGTAATTTATTTTAAGTGATCCCAGGAAAGAATTTGTTTTGGCTAGCAAGAACAAGCTATAACAAATGGGGAGGTGCGGCTCCCACGGCTCCCCCCTGGATACGTCCCTGATTCGGTGTCAGCATAGTTTGATTGAAAATCAATGTTAAAACTAAAAGTAAGAGTAAACTCTCAGTTACTAATCTGCTATCATTATTTTCATCACTATCACTATCTTCATCCATCGTCATAATAATAATAATAATAATAATAATAGTAATAATAATAATAATAATAATAATAATAATAAATAATAAATAATAAATAATAAATAATAATAATAATAATATAGTAATAGAAATAATAATAATAGTAATAATAATAATAATAGTAATAATAATAATAATAATAATAATAATAATAATAATAATAATAAACAAACATTTGGTGATGCGCCAATTTCAAATTAAATTATCAAAGGCGTGAAGGTATACATAGAGCATGAATTGAATAAAGTAGTAGAGAGTAGTAGAGTAATAATAGAGTAACTTATCATCATCGTCATCATCATCATGAAAATCATCATAATCCGTTATCATCATTATCATTATTATTATTATTATTATCATCATCATCATCATCATCATCCTCATCATAATCATTACATTTTCATCACCATAATCAGCAACAGCATTAGCATAAGCACCTCCACCACCACCATCATCAGCCATCAGCACTATCACTTTGTTGTTGCTATCATTGTTGTTATTTTATAATAGGCCTATTTGAGGTATTTTATTGCACATTCAGAATGTATTGTTATTGTTATTGTTGTTATTGTTTTATCAATAATTAATAATATTATCAATATCACTCCATAAGGCTATTGGGTTTTTCTTACATTTTTTTCATTGACAGATTACGGAAACGTTCTGAAGGTATATATGAAACGCCAATGCGGCCAATAGAAGGACTGTATCTTGAGCTTGAATAAGCGTGAACACTTTCGTAACGTCAGCAATTATAAATACCTGCCTTCAAATAGTCTGATTAGTTGGTGTATTGGAATATCCTTACCGCTAAATATATTTTATAATGTAGAAAAATACTTACTTTTTGAGCTGTAATCAATTCAGTCAATTGAGACATTAGGTCGAATATTTTCCAAATATATAAAATAAACTTTACATGCATGCGTGTATTTTGTATTTGTTGTCGTTTTTGTATTAATTTCAAAAACGAAACGATTACGTCATCACATTTTTAGACAACTTACCCTACGAGCAACAATCTGTCACAACGCAGGCGAATGAACAGCTCGTGCTGTAAGAATGTTTAAGGCAAGAATGACGATAATGATAATGACGTAATCGTATTCGTTATCGTTTTCATAAGGTTGCGAAATCTCCGTATTATCATTACCATCACCAACAACACCATCACTCCCATAATCGTCATCATCATCATTATTTTCATTTTCATGATCATCATCATCATCATCATCATCGTCATTATCATCTTCATGATCATGAAAATGATTGTTAACAATTGTTAAAAGAAAAGAACTCTCTGCAACCAATGGTTTATATTTTCATCTCTACTTTACACAGTAAATATAAGATAATTTGTATATGAAAAAAGGAATTGAGACTTAACCAAGTTCAGAAAATCAATGCCTTCTTGTGTCATTGACAACATGAAAGTGAAAACTTGACAATAGACCTACTTAAATTACAAATGCAGCTGTCTGGACTAATGTGTTTTTCAGATTTTTTTTTTTTTCATTTATTTTAATTATTTCAATATTACCGATAGTATGATAGATGTTTTCCAGCTGCAAAGAAAAGGAAAATTATCCATACATATTAGTTGAATGTCAGAAAGGATAGGTACCGGTATCTAATAAATGAGGAGAGCAAAAACAGAACAAAATAACTATTTTCAGCCATGAACAATCAGATGAAGGTAAAATTAATGATTTAATCAAAAACTTAATATGAATATCAATTTTATTTCAAATATTGGTAGGCCTATATTATTTGTATATTTTTTATATTTACATCACTAGTGAAGGCCGATCGATTGGTGCGGAAGTTCTTGAATAATATAATTACTCATACAAGTGTACAAACTAATTCATTTTTACTGTATATTTATATAACATCCGATCTTTTACATTTTACTATAAAATATTAACTGACTGCAATAAAATAAATTAGTTAAATAATTGATGGTCATAGTCCTACTCCTCTAAGCCCACAAACGCCATGTTATTTATTAATATCATTAATTGTTCTATTTTGTTTTGATGAAAAGTACTTAAAGCTTTGTCTACACTATCAAATTTCATCAAAAAAGCGGCACATGAAATTTGGTGGAACATAGAGTTGAACACGTTCAACTTTTTTTTTTATACAATTTGATGATATGTGATATGACGTCATCGTACCCATATATGTGCACATCACATTTTTTTGTCACATAAAATTTGATAGTGTAGACAAAGCTTAAGATTCACAATGCTTTATTGTTCAACATCTACTCTTTTTACGCAAATAAAAAGGCCTAATTATTTCATATCTGTATTTCATCTTTTATTAATGAACCTTTAATGAACATATTTAACAATCGAAGGACCCAACTGACTGAGCATTCTTATGTCTTCTAACGTCATAATGCTTCATCACATCTGCTAGCTAATCCAGCATTACCAATGATTCCCGGAAAATGACATTAAAATGTTATGAGCAATTGTTAATGATTCTAAGAGCGCAGACCTTTTAGGGAATCGGGTCAATTGGATTAACCGGACTACCCATAACGTACACAGAGAGGCAATTTCAATTTAAGCCTAGAAAGAACATTCACTTGAAAAAACCTCATTAGCCCAGTTAAAAGTTCTACCGGAAATAATATTTCCATTTGTCATACATTTACCTTTACATTTACCCTTCTGCTGGGAAGATGTAAATTAAACGTAAATTAAATCACCGTTCGGATTCTTTATCAACTAAGCTATGACCAAGCGGTTTCCCGCACCAAAGTTATTATCGTGATTTATTATTATTTAAAGTCAGGCTCCGGAGGAAAAACATTTTTTGATATGTTGTAGAACTGATTTTTCTAAGACAGAAAAAAAATGTTGTTCGACGAAAAACTGGGGAACGGTGAATGAGATACAGATTTTTTAATATTTAAAAACTGGGGGAATAAGGTGTAAAAATGGGCAGTTACGCCCCTTTTCCCCCCAGTTTTTAAATATTAAAAAATCTGTATCTCATTCACCGTTCCCCAGTTTTTCGTCAAACAACATATCAAAATTTTTTTTTCCTCCGGAGCCTGACTTTAATATCGGTATCTTGAGAAAAAAAAAAAAAGAACCTCGAGTGGTAATAGAAGAATTCAAATGTGTATACCGCTTGGCCTCATTATAGTTGCTGGTAGTTATCCGAACGGTATATTCAATTGTTTTGGGTTCAAATTCCAATGGAAACAATACTTTTTTTTTTTTATTTATAAAAATATTACCACCAGTTGATGTTGTTCCATAACTAAGTTAATATTCTTGACGAGAATGTTTTTGTATCTGTTGTATTGTTAGCATATTTATTTATTTAATTAATTAATTAATTAATTAATTAATTAATTAATTGATTGATTGTTATTAATTATTATTATTATTATTTTTATTATTATTA